GTCACAACTCGTTCTAATATGCAAAGGACAAACAAATGCGCCTATGATGTATTTTCGATCAGATGAGATCTCTCTCCCCCATCGCGAGGGGGCGGGGCAGTTTACACACACAGCTGCTACATGCAGCGGAGTACACTGCGAAGGTGGCGGCGAGAACGCGCTCCGAGGCGTGGTTAAACTTCACCCTCTTCGATGTGGAGAATGCTCGTTGCCAAAGTGCAATAAGAGTTTATCATGTAAGGGCGTAACACGAGCACTTTGTCTAAACATTTAGCAAAAGTGCTCCACATCCAGACGGAGGAATGCACCGGGTTCCACTGTCTTTCTAGCAGCTCCGTAGCTCCATTCACGAGTAACGTTCCCACGTCAGATGTTATGTATGCTAGCAGCGACACACAGAGTAACTACATTATACAAACTGGGTTAATGATTAGAGGTAACTGAATATTTATTAGTTTCAATTTCAGCTTTTCTGTTTACAGCCTGTCGACAGATTATTTAATACGATTCGGTAAATGCTCAGGGCAATCTCAATGACAAGGTCAATGTTCCCCCGTTTCTACGCACGGAGATAATGTAATCTAATAGCGTGCAGGCCAAGGCTGGCTCTTCAAAGCAGATATTACGACGCGCTTTAATGTTCCCATCATCGTTCAGCGGAACTCTTTCAGCCTTAAGTCAAGTAGGAGAAACTACGCGTGCACCGGCTATTCAGGTAATAATATTAATAGCGTCTCTCCCCAGTTCAAATCACCCACTGCTCAGGGAGATCTCCTAATGCGTTGCCTTCACGCATCTAGCGTTCAAATACAACATTACTAAACTACAACTCCGCTCAACTGGGAAATGAGAAGAAGAAACAGAAGAGACTCCTCCAGGAGCACAGCGTTCCTAATCATGAGGAACTACAGGCCCAGTCTCACACCGGAGTTCCTAGCCATCACATCAAGCTCATGGTATTATCGTTCCTCTAACCAACTGCGTGCATCCACATAAACGTCTTCAACGACAGTTGCTCTTCCTCACCGGGCATGCGGATTCTTCGGCACGCATCATCTCCCGTTTCCTGGACGTGGCATCCGCCGGCCTCACGACGACCGTGTTTTCCCCGACTTAAGGACGTGCACTGCACATCCTCCGTTTTGGGGGGGATATCTGCATGAGATCATTCGCATAGCGGCACACTCAGATTTCCACTATTTCTACACATTTATTATCACACTTGCTGGATCTAACACTAGCGTCCCTCCATCATCCTCACTTCAGATGATAGAAGACAGTCTTAATCACTCAATCAGCTCATCAGCATCTATGACTCATCCCGGCACACTTAACGCTAATTAAGATATACTATATCATGGGTCATGTCTCAGTATTTAACTAAGTGTACGTATTTTCTGCGTGCATCCTGCACTTCATTCATATTCTCGGGTTCATGCTCACTTGGCTCGTGGTAAACCAGGTTACGATATTCATGCATCACCGTACTCAAGCTAACAGCTCTCGGGCATTATATCGTCTACATCTCCCTCTTCACCGGACATCGGCTCGTGCCGCCAATCAAGATCTCTTCAGTTTACCTATGGTAAATATGCATATAACTGGTGGTGGCGTCTAATAGCATATCAGGGCTTTCGTTCAGACAGGTGCAGCCATTCAAGGCATATCTCCCTCCTCCCTGCCAACTCGGACGGTGGTCCTCCTCCGCCTTCATATCCCACATTCGCCCGGACATCCGTGCGTGCTGGCTATCCAAGGTCCGAACACTAAACGGTATTTATACATAAAACTGGTGGTGGTCTTAGCAAGTCAGCACATTTACGTGTCACCGTGTTCATGTTTAAACACTTCATATCGTCGTGACCTTCAGGTTCGCTCGTATTGAATCCTGCCGCGCAGGTTGCGGCCAGTGGGTCCGCATTATGTTTAAACCCTGCACGTGCAGGGCGAGTAGGTCAGTGTCATGTTTAACCCTGTGTGTACAGGTTGCGGCCTATGGGTCAACATTTGTTTAACCCTGTGTGTGCAGGTTGCGGCCTATGGGTCAGCATTTGTTTAACCCTGTGTGTACAGGTTGCGGCCTATGGGTCAGCATTTGTTTAACCCTGTGTGTGCAGGTTGCGGCCTATGGGTCAGCATTTGTTTAACCCTGGGTGTACAGGTTGCGGCCTATGGGTCAGCGTCATGTTTAACCCTGCGCGTGCAGGTTGCGGCCGGTGGGTCAGCGTCATGTTTAACCCTGCGCGTGCAGGTTGCGGCCAGTGGGTCAGCATCGTCTAATCCAACATGCAGGCGCTAAGCATGGTTGGCGTTCACATTAACCCTACAGTTATTCCGACATTCTCATCATGTCCCCGTGTTATCTCGTTTCATCCACAGATCTCCTCAATCAGCCAGCAAGGTAAGAAATGCTTCACATCTCAGCACTTCTCACTTCTCTTCTCTTTGGGGGTTCATCGGAGCGGTTTTCCCCTCCCGAATGATTATCCTACAAACCGGGGCCTAATCTCCAAACATCAGTTGATTCATTGTTGTAATCTGTCATCATAATTTTCTATACCACGTGTCCGGTATTAAACATGTATTTCATACATCACGTCTCTCATGATTGAAATGAAGCTTAGCGCAAGTTCAAGAAGGAAGACCATACCCCTGGTGTTACACGTCACTGCAAACTCCTCTCCCATTAAGTAATCAGGGGCGGTACTCCCCAGCTAGCAATCATTGCACCTGCTAAACCCTTTAAATCTGTTCTTCCCTCTCTGTCAGTTGTTATTTCAGGTGTCAACGCACAACCCGCCTCCACCCCTTCGCCTCCTGTCTCCTAATTCAGGACCAAGCTAATCCTTCTTCCTCCAGACCAGACCGAACCATTATCACCACCACCAGTGTCTAGACCCCGGGGGGTTCATCGGAGCGGTTTTCCCCTCCCGAATTATTATCCTACAAACCGGGGCCTAATCTCCAAACATCAGTTGATTCATTGTTGTAATCTGTCATCATAATTTTCTATACCACGTGTCCGGTATTAAACATGTATTTCATACATCACGTCTCTCGTGATTGAACTAACATTATGTTTCAAGTTTTAAGAATGTTTAATCCTTCCTTTCCAGGTTTTTACAAAAGCCTAACTTTTCCTTTTCAGATTGTTAAACATTTTGAGAATCGTTTAATTTTCCCTTCAGATTTTGAAATGAAATAACGATTGATAGTTGAAGTAATGTAATTATGTTATCATGCCATAGTCTTTTGATTTAATATGTAATGAAGTAATCCTAAAATTGAGGACACTACAATTTTGCAGATTACAGATTGATCAAATCACAACTGTGAATTGTATACCTTACCTGGATCTCTTATGGTCCTGAGTTTAAAATGCTTTTGACTAGTGATTGCCTTGAAGTAAATCTTTAAACTGCAAGCTGGTGTTGATTTTATAGTTTGATAAGTGAGATCAACTAATGGTTAATTGTTAAAACATATTATTTTGAAATAGATGTTTTTGCTATTAAGCATCTGTGTTTTATGTGCGTTCATTATTGTGCTTTTGACAAAAGATGATCCAAACATTGATGAGAGATTATTTTTCTGTTATGATTGGCTGTATCAATCATTGTGATTGAATGTTTCAATCTTATTCTACTTTGTGATGTAATTGATACCACACTCAAATCTGAAGACGCCTATTGATTTAAGTATTGACCAAATTATTATTAGACTAATGTTTTAAGGTTATCATAAATGATAAAAAGAGAAGACTGTTAGGGAATAATTCTTCCTTACTCCTAAAATATTTAACCTTTTCTGTGTGTTGACGTTTACGACCAACCCTGAGTCTGTTATCTGTCTTAAGGACTGGGAGGGTTTAGCTATTGTTGATATTATCGGTCACAGAGGGTTTTATGACTGTGAGAACGCTGGCTTCTAAGCACCACAGACAGGTGATTCAGTGTCTCCAGATGTTGGGGCTATCTCCAGTGTTCCCAGAATGTTTACGGCAGCCCCCTAATATGTGGATTAACTCTCTGTAAACTAGTTAAAAGGTCTATCGAGAGAGAGGCTGGTCAGATTTGACATGGCAACTCATCAGGGCAGTCAGAACCTCTGGCTGCTGTGACTTGTGATGTGAATTCTCCGGCCGATACTTGTAATAAACACCAGTGTTTGACATCAAAGCTCCAACTCTCCTCGTGTCTCTCTGAGTCCTGACTCTCCATTGCTGCAGAAGTTTCCCTTACAGATATTACATTTGCATTGATTTAATTTGTATAACTGAGGATCAAGAGAGGGGGTTAGGGATTGTGGGTCCTGAAGCTGCCCTAATTACCAGGGAGTCTCCCAACGACACAGGGTTTCTCCTCCAGGGAAGTTTACTGCTCTCATAGAGTACTATAAAACACTACTACACACACATACATACACAGACAACGAGCAGCTGGTGAACATATAGGGTGCTGAGCAGTGGTGGGAAGTAACCAAGTACATTTAATCAAACATTATATTCTCCACTACATTTCAGAGGCCAATATTGTACTTTTACTCCACGACACTTATTTAACACTCAGTCAGTTTACAGTTTGTATATGTAATAACACCTGATATGCTGATATGGTGAAATGCAATACTGTACTCCAAACAGTATTTCAAGTATCTGAATTTGGCCAACTACAACACTAAATTGCTCTTTAATTTATAAAAACTGGAAGAAATTACAACTATAATAATCAATTTTGCATAACGAGTACTTTAACATTTGATAATTAAATAATTCTTCTGAACTTTATATTGTTCTGAAATGGGCCACTGCGCAGAACGATTACTTGTACTTTTTGTACCTAAAGTACATTTAGATTTGAATACTGTTGTACTATTACTTAAGTCACATTTTTAAATCAGGTTTTTACTTTTAGTTGAGTATTTTAAGACCATAGTATTGCACACAGATCTCTGTATCTTTCCTACGACTCTGCTCATGAAATTGAAGAAAATGTTTTTACCATAGGCTGAGTCAGCCGCAGACTCCTGGTTCCGTACAGTTGCCAACACATTAACTGCAAAGACAAAAACAACACAGCAGTCAAATGATGCAGCAAAAAGTACATTTATGTCTATCAAATTTTTCCAATCTTATTTACTGTCAGGTTTATATCCTGACTTTACAGTGTGAAACTCTCATATTACAACTGCTATTGTCAGTCCTGTGGCTGTAGAATGAGTTTCTCACCATGACAGCTGTCCTGATGAAACAAGTGGTCACCTTCAATATCCTGTTCAAACCCGGCCCTGCACAGAGATACACAGAGAAAGAGAAAGGAGAAAGAAAGAGAGGAATTCATAAAAACATGAGGCCTAATTTCAGAACATTTCCAAATTCTGAAGTGCTTTCTTTTCACATTTTAGGATAGAGTTTAGATTTTGTTTGGTATTATAGAAACATCTTTGAAATAATGTCTAAATGTGACAACAAAATGTGCTCTTAAATTCCAGAAGACAAGAAATTCTACACTAAAACTCATCTCAATTGTAGACAATGGGACTGATTTACTAGCATGTATATTAATACAGTAGTATCCAGCGTAACTGTTTCCCACATGTAAGCTGGATGCAAACTTGAACAATGAAGATAACTAAAGCAGTGACACATTAATCATCTCAAAGCATTTCATTACAATTGATATTAGTGCAGCAGGCCTAGCATCTTTCTTACTTTTTTAAGGACAGTATTATTATAGATATTTTTCCAGAGGGGATGGTGTGTGTTGGGGAATAATTTGCTTAGGTATTTAACCTTTGACACAGTTAATCATTTTCTCCTTTCCAATGGCATAGGTCTACGGCCTCGGTATTTCTGCTATCTCTCTTAAGGAGAGGCAGCTTGGGATCATTGTTGATTCCACTTTATGAGCACAAGCTGCCATGAGGTCGTTTATTGTTCAGAGACACCTAGAGGCCCTTCTTTTCTGGAACGTAGGTTCCCTGGCGCACATTCTTTTCTATGGACGACAGCTCTAGTTATATTCAGGGTCCATTTTGTCTCGCTGATGAAGAATGTTGATTATTACACTCTGAACTAGTTAAAACCTCGAACTGCAGAAGAGATCTTCAGAATGAGTTTGGCAGCGGCTGTCACCTCGTGGCACAGCACATGTCTTGTCAAATTCTCCGGCCGTAGCTTCTTAATAAACCTTCAGTGTTTGCCATCAATGTCCAGCTCTCCCTGTGTCTAACATCTAACCCTAACCCTAACCCTATTGCTCCAGAAGTTTCCATCACAGTGTGCAGGTCCACAGATTTTTTGAAGGGGGCACCATGCTGATATCGGTTCCTCTGCAAGGGTTTTGAGGAGAAAGGCAGATATTCCATCTGGCCCTGGGGCCTTCTTAGATTAGATATAATTAAAAAGTGATTGGACCTTAGGTGGGTCAGTCAACAGCTTTGCGTCCGGGTTAGTAGCAGGGATGGACTCTTAAACAAGTAAAAGTCATTAATTTGTGCTTTTTGCATGGGTCATCAGGGTTAATGATATTATTAGACTATTAGACTTTAGCTAATGTCCCAGAATTTTTTATTTATTGCCTTAATCAATATCTAGTCAACTCTAAAATACCACATATATGCAATGGCATGATAATATTATTGTGACAAGTGGGGTATTCACCTGGTGTTTCCAGAAATTAGACGTAGATGCAGCCAAAATCGACGCAGTCTGTAAGGGCAATCCGACAACCCACACAGCTCTAGTTTACGCTGGTAACGACCTAGAGCACACCCCTCAAGTCCAGAGATGTAATCCGAAGACATGCAGCGATTTCTTCGGTCGTTAATTCAGAAAAAAAACCTAGTGCGCTCTGCCTGGCAACGTTAGCTAGCTGTTTATATTTGCACTTCCAGGATATTTGCACCTCCATGAAAATGGCGTATTTATATATATGGCGCGTGTTGCATTGTGGGTAGCTCGTGACGTCACTGTGTGTGAAAGAATTGCGCCTAAAAGCTGTTTGCCAGCCGCCCTTAAACAACAAATGAAGAAGAAGAAGAAATCACAACAAAACGAACAAAATACAATAAGAAGAAAAGTTAGTATTGCGAATTCAGATAACACACAGTAGCTAGAAGACCTGACCTACCTGCTTCTTTTAAATCAGCTGTGTGGGAACATTTCGGGTTCCCTGTGGACTACAATAACGAGGGAGTGCGAGTGGTGGATCGGACGAGGACGGTGTGCCGGCGTTGTTCGATGTAATGTGTAATGGTAACACAAGCCAAAACATGCTAAATCATGCTAAATCATATCAGAAGGCATCACCCAGATTTGGCAATCACCAGAGCCTGCCAAAAGACAACAGCAGTTTAACAGCTTCTATTTCCTATAGGCTTCACCCTCTAAGGCTATCGCTATTGGGTGATCCCCTGCGCACCCGCGCAGCACTGAAAACACTTGTAGTCCACGCCCACCTGCGAGGTGGGCCCCACCTTCCGACTCACTTCCGGTATAAATAGGAAGGAGGCCCGACAATCTGCTCCCTCTTTTCTTCAGCACCCCAGTACTGAAGCACTGTAGACACTAAAGAGTAAAGGCTCTTTTAAGAGCCACCTCGAAAAATATCCTTAAACATGAGTACACAGGGTTGTGTTAGAGTTTGCTCCTCATGCCAGACGGGGTTCATAGTGAGGTATTGAAGCCTGCTTCATGTCCAATTGATGTTTTGTTTTTTTGCATTGAAAAGGTCCCTGTATTGTACAATTTTGTACAATCCAGGGACCGTTTCAATGCTAAATAAAGTCCATCAATGCTTTTTTCTCTTTTCTTGTGTTACTAAGAAAATACTTATTTTTAGATACACTTTGATGTATGCAACACTTAACAACTGACAGAATATGAAGTACTTTGTAAGGAATTGGGTTTCTTTTAATGGTCGTTTTTTTTAACACTTGTTTAGTTAACCTGTTAGACCCCAAGCCTGTTTTTCAGGTCTCAGGCTCGAAAATGACATTTCCAGAACAAATGACCATAACTACACTTCTAAAAGGGAAAAATTAATAATCTTTTTTCTCAAAGTAATGATAAACCTGTGAGTTGGATGTAGAAAAGTCAGAATCAATATAGATGTTTTTTATTTGAAAGAAAATTCAGATTGAACATTATTGTGTCCGTCCAAAAATTATTTTTTACTTATAGTGAAAACTACCCTTGGATGATGGTATGGTAGACTAAAAGCTTTAGGAATCCAAAGTACAACATATAATAAGTACCCTGTATCAAGATTGATGCAAAACAAGTGACATTTGACCTTTTAAGAGAGGTTTAGCAAAAAAAACTCCACCTCTGGGTTGATTTGGGTGGAAATTAGCGTTTTTGCCGTTTCTCTGTAACACATTGGTAGATTTTGGTGATTGACATCTCTTTTTAACCGTTAGAGCCAATATAATCAAAGGGGAATTTCCACATACACACCACATGTTATCAAAAAAAAGTGGGGGCTTCGGACTTGCAGTTTTGCCCAGAGCGAACCCATCGCACGCTCTGACATCTGAAAATGGAAAAGTAGGTTTATTGCTTATGGATTATCAGAAATCATTTCAAAGTGACACAGACACATTGGATTAACCTATGGATTAACCTTCAGCAGCATTTTTATCGTTTTAATGCCATTGAAGACAACTTTTGATCAGACAACAACGAAGGTAAGAGATATTGCCGTTGTTGCTACCTAGCGCAACGTGTTGTGATGTCTGTTTTTGTTTATAAAGTTGCGAGATCTGATGATGTAGGTACCGATCGATTCTGTGTCTTCTCACGATGCTAGTCGATATGTTGGATGTGCAGCTACGATAAGTAATAAGGGTGTTATGAGTGAGTTTATGTGCAACCGCAGTTAGCATTTTTTCGCTCGTGGCTAATTCAGAGGCTCAGCGTTAGCTTTGTGGGTTTTTTTGCAACAAAAAAAAAGATTGATCAGTTAGCTGAGTTTCTTCCCGTTACATATTTTAGTTATTTTCTGCTACCAAGATACTTTCTTGATACACTTTTATGTAGGAACATTTTACAACTGGTAGATTGTCAATTACTTTGTAACAAATGCATTTTCTTAAAGACTGTAGTAGAAGTACTGATCCTGTTTCAATCAAAAAAGTGACAGGTGCTGTGACAGGTCACACCTGCTACTACTTATGCTAATGACCCCCCTGTGTATGCTAATGATCCCGTTATGACCCCCTTTGTATGCTAATGACCCCGTTATCCTTTGTATGCTAATGACCCCGTTATGACCCCCTTTGAATGCTTATGACCCCCTTTGTATGCTAATGACCCCCGTTATGATCCCCTTTGTAACCCTAACCCTAGCCCCTTACTGTACAGTAATAATTATAAAGATCTTATTTAGGTTTTAATATGATTGGTGTTAACTAAGGATGTTCTTTTTAAGTTTTGTGAGACTGTTGACTAATGTTTAATTAGTTTACTAACTATAAGGAAGTCTCTTTTATGAAGAGGGTAATATTAATTTTAAAGATCTTATTTAGGTTTTAATATGATCGGTGTTAACTAAGGATGTTCTTTTTAAGTTTTTGTGAGACTGTTAACTAATGTTTAATTACTTATAAGCACACAACTATTAAAGAAGCCCCATATGAAGTTATGTGAGGTTGTGTTGGGGTAATATTAGAATTAGCTGTATGCAGCAACAACAACAAAAAGAGAAGTTTAAAAAAAATTGTTTTTCTGTGGTCTGTACCAGGGGGGTGATCAGAGTAGAAACAACTGTAAACACTTAAAATACACAGAATTAAGACTGTGGGGGAAATGAAATTTTTCATTTCCAAACATACGAGGCTTCGTCTACTGAAGATCAATACAAGGACAGAGTTTCAAATCAAATCAAATCAAAATTGTATAGCACATTAATAAACGATTTTTGGTCGAGCCAAAGTGCTGTACATATAAACATAAACAGCACAGATTGTTCAGAATATCAGTATGAGAAAAACGACACCCTCTATCCTTAGACGCTCACATCGTACAAGGAAAAACTTCCAGAGAAAACCCACAGTTTAAAGGGGAACATGGGAGAAACCTCAGGGAGAGAGCAACAGAGGAGGGATCCCTCTCCCAGGACGGACAGACGTGCAATAGATGCCGGGTGTAAATCGAAGAGATAATACATTTTACAGCATATAGACCGAATGTTAGGAAATGCATGTGTCTGTAATAAGAAGATGAATCCACAAGGATGTGTTTCACTCTGTGTGAAAACAACTGTAAGCACTTCATACGCATAGAA